ACTCACTATGCTGTCAAAAGTTAAAACAGGAAGTGAGACCTACAATCCCACATTAATTTGCAATGGTTAATTTTTCTAAACTAACTAAAGTTCCAACAAGATTTTCTGGTTGGTCCTCTGGTTGGTCCTCATTGCAAGTGCAACGAAAAGTGCCATATTTTAAAATCCATTTCACTGCACAATTGAGGTGCTTCCAAATAAGGTACAGTCGAAAAGGCAAATATCGAGGGGAAAAAAAATCCAAACTCACTGGCAGCTAGTCAATGTCAACTCACAGCGACACAAAAGGAAAGGGTAAAACTGCCTCTATCGGTTTCCATGGCTGTTAATTATTATAGCAGTAGAAAATCTTGTCTTTCTCTCGAGGAATGGCTGGTGGTTTCAAACTATTGGCCCTACAGTTAACAGCCCAATTCATAACCACTAGGGCTTTTCCCCCTATAGCACCAGAGTTCCTAATATCAAGAGAAGAATCTAACAATTCATTAAGTGCCTTCCACATGAACATGCTCAGTGAAAATCCCATGTTCACAGATTGATATCAATATCTAGTGGATCTATATATGTGAAAAGAATTTCCAAAGAAACTTCAATTTGTGGCAACCTTATGTGCAAGAGAAGGAAACATTGTCTTGTCTGTGTCATCTTCTTGATGGCCAGTAAGTTTGAGTCCATTATTGTGTCAATTCAGCTCATTCAGGGTTTCCACTATTTTTCACTGGTCCTCTATTAAGCACAATGTCCTATCCTAAGGACTGGTCATCCCTGATGTGTTCAAAGTAAGCAATCCAAAGCCTTGCCATCCTCACATCTAAGGAGCACTCTGATTGTAATTTGATTTGTGTGCATGTGTGTGTATGGTTGTAATATGATTTGTGTGCGCACGTGTGTGTATATATATATATACACACATTCAATGCCAACTCATAGCCCAATAGGATAGGGTGTGTACACACACACACACACACACGTTTGTAATATGATTGTGTGCACGCATATACACTCACACACACATTCAATGCCAACTCATAGCCCAATAGGATAGGGTGTGTACACACACACACACACACACACACACACACACACACACTCTTCCCCAAAGATATTCAAATGTATCGATTATTCCTTTGTCTTCTTTTTCACTGCTCAACTTTTTGATGTATTTGATGAGATTGAAAAACAAAAAAACAATTTGGAGTCAGCAGCGCCTTGTCAAAGTGACTTTTTTTCCCCCCAAAGTGACACTTTTGCACTTTAAAGCTTTAAAGAAGTCTTCTGAAGCAGATTTGCCAAATGCAGTATGTTACTTGATTTTTCTGAATCAAGTACTCTGAAATTCCCATTCACCATAATATTAAAATTTGTTGTAACCCATAGGGGAATGCATTCATGTAGTCAATATGATAGGCAATACTAGTATTGAATGCCAATTAAACAATTTAATCCTCCCATAAAAGAATTAGACTCTTCCCATTAGAGTATTACAAAAAAATTATAATACATTATACTTTGAATTTTGTCAACTAAAAGGCTGTGGAACTTTATGTACACCTGTTATATAAATAGCTATATAATACCACTGATTTTGCTTATTAGGATTCAAAGTCTAAAATATATACTGTGGTCTTATAGTAAGTTTCCCAAATGCTGTGCTAAACAAAGGACCTCTGAGCCCTCCTGACACAGTAGGCTACATGTTTGGCTGCTAACCACAAGATTGAGGGTTCAAGCCCACCAGTCACTCCATGGGAGAAAGAGACTTTCTATTTAGTTAAGATGTACAGCTTCAGAAACCCACAGGGGCAGTTCTACCCTGTCCTACAGGGTCACTATGGGTCAGCATCAACTTGATGACAGTAAGCTGGTTTGTTCTGTTCTAAACATATCATATGGTAGTTTAATCTTTTAACAGAAAACTGCATACAAAATATCAAGGAATCTTAAAAAAAAATTTTTAAGTGCTAGAAACTATACCACCACCTTTTTTTCCTCCAAGCACTTTTAATTTTTTTAATTTCATTATTTTTTAAGATGCAAACTATTTGAAGTTTTAAAAAAACAATTTATTGGCATTTAATCCACTTATCACACAATTAATAGTTCAATCATATCAAGAAGAATTGTACAATCATTACCACAATCAATTTCAGAAAATATTTTCCCGCAGGATTAAATCGCCTTTAAAATGAGTTCTTGCGTTCTAGTGCTCACTCAACCTTTTTTATTTTTTGCACACTGTGGACATGACATACTGTCAGGAGAGACCAGTCCCTGGAGAAGGACATCATGCTTATTCAAGTGGAAGGGCAATAAAGGAGGGCTCAGGTATAGGAACAACTGTGAGAATGTTAAAGGGCCAGTGTTTCGTTCTGTTGTGCACAGGGTCGCTATGGGTCGGAGCCAACTCAATGGCACCTAACAACAACAACAACAGCAGAAACTAAAAGTTAATTTAGCAAGATTGTAAGATACAAGGTCAATATAAAAAAATCACCTAGAAGTTGTTATGATGGCAAAAGTTTTATCTATACATTTACTATAATAAATAAAAAAATCTCTTATATTTAACAACGAACAATCAAATATTGAAACAGAAAAACAGTGCCTTTTACAGTAACACCAAAACAGGTTTACACTTCACCAAATATATGCAGGATCCCTATGCTGACTACTACAAATCACTTATAAAAGAAATTCTGAAATGATCAAGCTACATGGAGAACTACACCATGGTCTGTCAATAAAATGGAAGATTATCCCACTTACAATACAAAGGAATAAATTATTGATACAGCACAGATGAATCTCAGGTGCATTAATGTTAAGGGAAAAAGTCAGATTCAAAGGACTCCATGATAGAAAATTCCAATTTTACAACCTTCTAGAGAAATCAAGCAACATCTATAACAGCAAATAATAGATTAGCGGTTACCAGCTTCTGGGCACAAAAGTAGAGGACAGTAACAAAGGGGTGACAGAAAATTTTGGGAGGCGCTAAGCCTTCTTTTATTTTCATTATAGTGGTGATTACCATACCATATATACTTGTCAGAGTTACACGCAAAAACAGTTCATCTGTGTATAAATTATCCCTCAATAAAATGCCAAATTTTTCTTTAACAAAATAATTAAAGGTAAAAAAAGCTAAGCACTTTTCAAAAATATAATTCAAGTGGTTATATAGCTCAAAGAATGTAATCAATGTCAGCAAATAACACGTGCAAAAACTGTTAAATTGGTGCTGTATTATGTTCTCAACAACAAAATTAATTTTAGAAGAAAAAAAAGAATAAAAAATTGATTCTTGGAGGCTCAAGAACAAATTCTAGAACTTCCTGTTGAAGGCAGAGAATTATAGACACAATTACCTCCATTCCTTCCTGTGCACCAAAATAATTAAGGGACTTTTTTAGGGTATAAACTCACAATAAAAAGAACAGGAGATGAAACCATAGCAATGAAATTTTTGGAAGCTGGAATGCAGGACACAAGGTAAAGTTGCCTTAGTACCTGAAAAGCTAAAACTTCAGCAAGCAGTAAGGAGAGCCACAAAGAAAACAAATTTGTAACAAAGAACCCCAAATACTCAGAAAAATACACGACTGGTACACTTGGCAAGAATGAAATCAAAATTAGTAAGAAGTTTAACAAGTAGCTAATCCACCACAAGTAGCTATTCATCACCCTTCTCCTCACTTCCCATACCTTCTCACTCTGTATTACCAGATGACAGTATCTCTAGTTAGAAAACTGGTTGTTTATTTTCTGAATAGGGGGTACAAGGGAGTACCCCTACAAAAACCCAGAAAAAAGCTTCGCAGGACAGAGCTCTCATAGAACACATTTTCCCCACTAGATGAGCATCAAGGAATTCACTCTGAGTTAGTGCACCCAGTGGCATTGCCTGGGAAGGTTCTCTCCCGTCACAGTGGATTTTTTTGTAAAAGCAATATCACTCGAAACTTGTTTTTTGTGATGGCTGATTTAAGAGAACAGCTTGTAGCTATGACATTTTGCTTCCTGCTTGGGGGAAAATGCTGCAGAAACTGTTAGTGATTTTTGAACATAGCTTACAAGGACAGCACTATAGGAAAAACTCAAGTATATGAGTGATTTTCTCGTTTAAAAAAAAGGTGTAATATCAATTGATGACAAACCTCACTCTGGAAGTCCTAAATGGATGAAAACGTGGACATAATTGGTGCATGGACAATTGAAGAGATGAGGTAGTTAATTGGACTATCTTGGAGCTAGGTTCAGTGAATTTTAAAGGAAGACTTTGGAATGAGAAGGGTCATGGAGAAATTTTTGCCTCAAATTCTGACTGACCAAGAAAAAGATCACTGAGTGGAAACATGCCGAGCTTTGAAACAACAGTTGAGGGAGTGACCCAGACTTTTTCCCCCCAAGGTCATCACTGGTGCTGAGACATGCTGTTACAACAACCCTGAAAGCAAACATCAATCAAGCCACTGGAAGATGCCATCCTCACCTTGCCCCCAAAAGCTCATCAAGTGAAATCAAAGATCAAGACAATGCTCATTTGTTTCTTTTTATGTGAGGGGGATAGTGCATTTGGAGTTCACTCCACCAGGTCAGACTGTTAATCAAGCTTTCTATTTAGAGCAGCTTTCACATGGGTTACCTAAGACCTTATTTCCACTCATCTTAGGAACTGACACACGGCTCCTCTATCTGTCTCCAGGCAGGTCTACCCACATGCAGATACGCCTACATATGGGTGGTCCCCATATGCAGATACGCCTACATATGGGTGGTCACCACATGAGGAACTGTATTAAAGGGTCACAGCATTAGGAAGGTTGAGATCCACAGATTTAGAGGTTCTGAAAAGATTGCCTAACAGCGTGGGACACAAAAGGCCTGATTTGTGGCAGACAGGACTGGTTTTGCCATCATGACAATGCACCTGCAGTCATCTCAGTGTGCCAGTTTTTGACAAAAAATAAAATAAAATAGGATGCCTCTCTTCACCTGACCTCGCTCCATGTGGCTTCTTTGTGTTTCCACAAATGAAAAGGAACATGAAAGGACAGCGATTTGACAATGTAGAAGAGGTGAAGAAAAACCTAGGAAGGCACTGTCAACCATCCAAACAGATGAGTTTGAAAAATGTTTCCAAAAAAAAAAAGAAAGAAAAATGTTTCCAAGAATGGAATCGCAGATTTGACAAATGTATTAAGTGTAATGGAGAGTACTTTGAAGGTGGTAAAGTTGTTTTGTGGGGAAAAATTTTTAATGCGCAGCTTTTGGGGGTTAAAAATCCAGGCTTTTGGGGGGGTGGGGGTGGTAAATAGCTAATAGGGTACCAAAATTACAAAGAGAGTAATGAAGTAAAAGTCTCTCTAAACCTGTATCATATATATATATACACATATATATGTATATATATATATTGAACTCCAAGTGCCCCCTTTCCACCCACACCCCTCCCCCCTCCCCAGCCCCACCCCATAATACTCTTGCAGGCAGGCAACAGACTGGAAGAGTCTTCTCTTGGGAATCTGATTAGCCTAAGAAAAGATACAAACAGATAATGACATCAAGGGTAACCTAGTAAAACCCTTTGCAGTTAGCAAATCCCACTTGTGATCACAGAGCTTACATCAGACTTTTCGATAGCAACACTGGCAGCTAGAAGAAAAATAAAGGACAATGCCTTCAAAATTTTAAGAGAAACTATTACTAATCTAGAATTCTACAACCAGCCAAATTATAATTGTGAGGAGAATAAAGACATTTAAAAACATCTAAGTTCTCACAATTTTATCTATTACCTTTAGTAACCTATGGGAGAAAATACTTTATATGTCCACTTTCATAAAGTTTATTTCACTGATTATTATTCTAGAATGCAAGTTCCATGAGGGCAAGGGCCATGTCTGTCTTGTTCACCACTGTTTAACAACGTTTCATAGTAGGGGAACATTTTATTATATGGAATCATTTCCTTCTCTCCTCATCTCCAACCTGCTTCTCTTCCTACCACAATTCACTCAAACTAGAGAAGATGGAAATCATCCTAGCCAAGCAACTGGAGTCAGAAGACCAAGGGGCCAAATGCAACCTGTTACTATATGGTCAAATCTAGTTGTTCCACTATATCATTATGTATAAAATGAAGATGATACCTACCTCTCTAGGTTATGCAAAAAAGAGGGTCAGCAAAAAAGAGGAAGACCCTCAATGAGATGGATTGATGCAGTGGGCTGCAACAATGGGCTCAAACATAACAACAATTGTGAAGATAGCACAGGACTGGGCAGCAATTTCTTCTACTGTACTTAAGGTCACTACGAGTAAGAACTCACTTGACAGCCCCTAAAAAAACTCTGGATTATAATGAGACTTAGAGACAACGCATATAAAATCACTTTGTACATGACAGGCATTCTGGATTAAACATTATCTAACAGAAGGCAAATATAAAAAGAATAGCAGCAAAACTGGTCCCCCCAAAACTACTGGCTGTGCAAAAATAACCATAAGCTTTTCAAGTAAAAATTAAGTAACTTACTGGTAAAAAGAACCGCAGTTCTGAGCCTCTGTTTTACTACTTACTAAACAACTTTGGACAAATCAATTTGAGACTTAATTTCCTCTCTTATAAAATGAAAGAAATGAAACTACTCTGTAATATTTTAGCAATGTCACACAACTAGCAATAGACATGAATCTAGACTCAGATCGAGCTGAATAAGTACCACATCACAATAACATCTCAAAATTGCCTGAAAGACCTCTAAATAACTAACAGAGTAAAGTGCAGAAGAGAAAAGTTGTGAAGCATGTGCATGATAGAAGTTGTTCAGAGAAGTGGATAGAGAAATAAGTTTCACAGTGGGATTAAAAAGAGATGAATACATATGAGCTTTCATATCAACATGAGGGTGAGGGATATAAAATAGATGAAACACAGTGAGGGTGGCCACAGAAGAGGCAGGTTTTTATAAGTGCAAAGAAACAGGAAATGAAGATAAATTTAGCTATCACTTTCAAAACGGAACTTTGGGGCATAAAATATGAAATGAAAATTATACAAATCCCTAAGAGGTGAATAAGACTTTTTATTTAGTTACTTTTTTTAAGTACTAAAATACAATACAGATTCCTCATATATGAAAAGTCAGCAGTGTCAGATACATCATACTTAAGAGAAAAAGACTGAGATCTCTTCCCTTGAAATCAGGAACAAGACAAAGGTGCTCACTCTTGCTGCTTCTATTCAATATTGTACTTATAATAGAAGCCCTAGCCAAAACAATGAGACAAAAAAAGGAAATTAAAAGTATCCAGATTAGAAAGGAAGTAAAATCCTCTATTTGAAGATATGATACAATGATATATATAGAAAATCCCAAAGATCCCACAATAAAACTTCTATGGCTCATAAAGGAACTTAGCAAAATTGCAAGGTACAAGGTCAACAAACAAAAAGCGGTTGGGTTTCTATATATTAGCGATGAGAACTCTAAAAGGGAAGTTAGGAAAACAATTCCATTTTCAGTAGCATCTAAGATAATAAAATACCTAGGAATAAATCTAACCAAGGATATGAAGAACATATACAATGACAACAATAAAACTCTGCTGAAAAAGAATAAAGACTAAATGGGAAGATGTTCCATGTTCATGGACTAGAAGACTTAATATTAAGATACAATACTATCCAAAGCAATCTATAGATTCAATGTAATTCCAATTAAAATTCCAACATAATCTTTACGAAAAATAACGAGGCCACGAATAGCTATAACAATACTGAAAGAGAATAATAAAGTTAGAGAACTCACAATTCCTGTTGGCATAGTGCGTTATGCATTGGATAAGGTCAGCAGTTCAAACCCACTAGCTACTCCACGGAAGAAATATGAGACAGTCTGCTCCCAAAAATTGCCCACAGCAAGTGAAAGTTGGACACTGAATAAGGAAAATCAAGTACAAATCGATGCATTTGAACTGGGGTGCTGGTAAAGAAGAATATTCAAAGTACCATGGAAGACTGGAGAGACTTCATCTCACATACTTTGGACATGTTGTCAGGAGAGACCAGTGCCTGGAGAAGGGCATCATGCCTGGTCAAGCAGAGGGGTGGCAAAAGGGACGAAGGCCCTGAACAAAATGGACTGACATAATGGCTGTAACAATGGGCTCAAGTACAGGAACAATTGTGAAGATGGTGCAAGACCAAGCACTGTTTCATTCTGTTGTGCATAGGGTCACTATGCGTTGGAAAAGACTGATGGCACCTACTAACAACAGCTCCCATAAAGAATTATGGCCTCTGAAACCTAAAGTCATTTCTATCCTGTCCCATAGGGACAGTCAGAATTGACTTGATAGTAGTGGATCATTTTTTGGTTTTGTTTGTACACAGCAACAGTAATCAAAACAACCTAGTATTGGTATAACAAGAGAGAGAGAGACCAATGGAATTCAGTCCAGAAATAAACTCACATATTTTTGGTCAACTGAATTTTGACAGGGGTGCTAAAGTCTATTCGATGAGGAAAGAAGGGTTTCTTCAATAAATGGTGCTGGGAAAATTGGACTTCCATATGCAGAAAAGGGATCCCTGCCCCAAACCATACAGGCATCCTCAAACTGCGGCCCGCTGAGGACATTTATCCGGCCTGCAGGGTGTTTTTGCCCCACTTGTTTTTTTACTTCAAAATAAGGTATGTGCAGTGTGCATAGGAATTTGTTCATAGTTTTTTTTTAAACTACAGCCTGGCCCTCTAACGGGTCTGAGGGACAGTGAACTCGCCCCATGTTTAAAGTTTGAGGACCCCTGCTTACACACAAAAAAAATTCAAAATGGTTCTAACACCTAAGTAGAAACATTAAAACCAGACAATTCTTAGAAAGCTAAAGCAGGGGCAATGCTGTCAAGGCTAGCTTTCAATAATTGATTCTCCAATATAGTAAATAAGACAAACAAAGACAAAAGAAAGAAATAGGGCCTCACAGAAATTAAAAACTTACTCACTGGGAGATCATCTTCATAACCATATATCCAGCAAAAATTTAATAACCAAAATCTATTTAAAACTATATGCATAATCAAAATCTATATAAAGCAATTTAACAATAAAAAACCAAGTATCCCAATCAAAACTGGGCAAAAGATTTAAATAGCATTAGCCATCAAAGAGATGCAAACCACAGTAAGTTACCACTTCACTCCCATTGTTGTCAAGTTGTGTACAACTCATCATGACCTTACAATATATCAGAATGAAACCCTGCCTGGTCCTGGGCCATCTTTCTCTTTTCTCATCCTCCAATCTGCTTCTGCTACCACAATTCACCCACACTAGAAAAACAGAAATCAAATTGCAGGGTTCTGCACGGAACACTAACCTCACCCTGAGTGAGATCCTGTCAATTCAGGGTTATCTTCAAGCCTTAAGGCAAGATGAGCGATAAACCAGATTTGTCTGAAGTGAAATTTGACAAGTCAAAACTGAAGAAAACTAACACTGAAGAAAAAAATACTACTCCATGGTAGGAAATGATCCAACAAGAGAAACAATGTGTTCAAACATCATAAAATGGGGAGCAAATTCCAACACTGCTTGAGTGTTGTCTTAGTTTGATAGGCTTCATTTTGTAAATTCATGTGTTTTGTTGGAAAACTTCCCATTGGTGTGTAAATCTCACAAGGTTGATGCTATCGATCTTTGTGTGTGTGGCTTTTGCCTTCCCTACAGGATAAGCCACTTTTTTTTTTTTGACATTTTATTAGGGGCTCATACAACTGTTATCGCAATCCATACACACATCAATTGTGTAAAGCGCATTTGTACATCATTCTCAAAACATTTTCTCTCCACTCAAACCCCCGACATTTTTCCCCTCCCTCCCCGCTCCCCACCACTCCATCATGAGCCCTTGATAGTTCATAAATTGGTATTTTGGATAAGCCACTTTTAACCTCCTCTAATGGGTACCTCCATTACGCAAAAATCTTCATGAAACTGCATGCT